TGTATACGTGTATATTCAGCAATCAAGAGTGCTCTTATGAACACATGCAAAGATTATTAAAGACTATCATTTACTATTCATAATTTCAGTGCTGATGTGTTTGTGTAAAAAGTGGAAAGACAAATTTCAAACGCATTTACCTGCTTTTACTTGAAATCATCAGTTTTATGCACTGAAGTTAGCTTTCATGAAGCAAAACTCTAGAGGCAAATAAAGACAGCAAATGTAAGAGAACTGTTATTATTTATATATAGATCCTAACTTATTTTTAATGAATACAGTCTAAGCTAGATATACATCACCATCACATACTTCATATCAGTCTGAAGCACATTAACAGTTCCTACATTACAATGAAAAAGAGTTAATAAAAATGTGTGTTCAGGGTATGCACACCCATTTTAAGACTAAATGTGTGGACTCCAGTCTAGTAACAGTTTTTGCTTACTCTTCTGTGTGGGAGGGTGTGAACAGGATGTGATATCTGTGAAGAGATAACTGTACAGACAGAGATTAAAATTAAAAAAAAATTGCCAGTATATTTCAAAACAGTTTCTGTAATTCAGAAATTTCCCATAATGATAACTTATTAAACAAGCAATCTCTCATAAAATTAACTATACTGGAAAGGAAAAAGAACTTATTTCTTGTCGTATATATAAAAATGGAGTTCAAAAATGGCTTCCAAACATTTTATTACCCACCAATCTTGAGTGAATCAAAAATGAAATTTTAACTAATTTAAAGATGCAGTAACAACTTCAAAGCAGAAGGTGCATATTGAACTGATCTAGATTTTGGTCTCACTGACCTTTAGAAATTTCTATTCTGTGTTAAGGAACTTGCTATCTTTTTTTCAACAGCATCAACAAAAACTGTCATTAAATCAAGTTTAATACGAAGTGACCAAAGGAAGCTCTATTCTGAATTAACCTGATTGGTTGATTGTGACTTTTTTTTTTGCCCTGGAATCGATACTTATTGAAGTTATTATTTTGCTGAGTAATGACTTTCCTGTGCTCAGATGTCCCATTCATAGAGGCACCAACACAACTTTATATAGCTCTGTTGTAAACCAAACAGAAATGTGATCACCTCCTTGTTTCTATAGATATGCCGAGAGTATTTATCATATTGGATATGCTTTACAAGATGGTACATACTGTCATATGAACAGTGAGTGCTGCTAGAAATGAAGGGTACTTATTTCCACTATGGGATAAGAGTTTCCAAATTCAACTTTAAAGATTTGATAAATAGCACTGGATCAATATTATTACAATATATTAAACTTCCTTTCTGAGAAAAAAAAATTGTAAAGAAGTCTTTGTCATGCTTCCACAACGATATCTTAGTGCCTTTTCTAGAAGAGTTCAATCTAAGAGCCAAAAGTTCAGAGTGATATTTTGGCAAATTCCAAACATGGATGAGTTCACTCAGGTCTCCTTGATATATTAAATGAGGCTCTGTATATGAGAAAGATGATTCAATTGACTACAAACTAATAAAAACCATGAACAGAATTCACAAAGTCAGGTAACTGACAAATGAATGTAAGGATGTAAGCTGCATGACAAAATTGGATAAGTATAGGCATATTTTAAACACACACACACACACACAAAAAAAAACAGCAGTGAACATTACAAAACAGAGAGGAAGCAAGTGAGAGACCCCCTTTCCACTCCCTATTGTAATGTAAATTGTAAATAATCTAAATTCCTGTATCACTCATAAACTGTGGGCAATAGAAAAATTTCCATGTTTGTAATTGGCATCAAAAATATATATAGAGATTGGCTAAAAACATCTGTGTGACCAAGGTTTTGTTGAACAATATTATTACTTTACATCCCTTTATAGAAAGGCTTCCAACATCACTGGTTTAAGGAGTCAGCTGTTATAAATCTAGAAATCATGTAGATGTAATCTGACAGAAAGAAGTGTTCCATAGTATCTTTGCTAGACATCAGTGCATTCACATAAATTATTTCACTTATTCAATTCCCTTTCTTAGTGTGGCATGTAAAACAATTAAATGCTGTCCCGCTCCAATTCAATTTTACATAACCCACACAGCAGATATAGTATCTTCAATTAATATAAGAAACAAATGAGGAACATTTATGGAACTAATTTCAATTACTTTCTCTACAAATAAATATCAGAAGGCACTGCTCTGCGTTTCTTAGGTCATGAATACTAGTTACAGGACAACCAACAAACATGATAGTGCAACTACACAAATAACTTTGCCATTAACTCAGTACTGTTTTCTGAGTCAAACACATGCATTTATATTAAAAGACTTCACTGCAGTTAGGTTATACATACATAGATTGACTATCAGCAGATTTCTTACAATTCTACTGATTTAATTAAAAATCACATTCCTCATATGGACATTATGAATGCCTTTATGCTGCACTAAATATGCTACAGAAGATGGATAATGGCTGCTGTTGGTTTCAGAAAATATTATCAGTAAGAGAAATAACTGAATAAATTTTCATTAAACTTAGCTGCAATGAAGTCTGATTCCCCTAGATGCAGATGATAAAGAGTGGAGATGCTGTTGCAAAGAAAGAGCAACTGTTTGTTAGAAATGGATACTGCTGCCTTGTCATTGTGAGAACAAATAAATGCCTTGACAATTGTTTCATTTATGGTTTATATATATTCACAACCCTCTTATCACATACTGTTTGCCTCTGCCTTTCATCCTTCTCCCACTCACTGCTGAGCTTGAGATATGAAATTAACAATACCAAGAACTGATGATTAATTTCTTTCACATATCCACACAATTATATCTCTGATGTTGAATCTGTTCTTGAGTTGTTATACTGTGTGGATGTCAGTAACACTGGGAACATTTTAGAGGATTCTATCTCCATTGTCAGGGTCAAAGATAGAGGCAGACTGTACATCCATATGCACCCAGTGTAACAACTCAAGAAAAAAAAATATCAATAATTGACAACTGTGAAAGCCTAAAATCACCAAGTATATTTCCTTTAAAAGTTTTTATAAACATTTCTCTAAAGGAACAAAAAGCATAACAGTTAGCTCCTTTGACAAATTAAGAGAACTGATTCTGTATATATATATATATACTTCATGACTGATTTTTCCTTAGAATACAAGTGTTCACTTCCATCACGTTCCAATGGTAGTGCCTATAAAACCTCAAAACATTTTAATTTTAAAATACCGATATCACTGTTTAAACATTATTTGTAAAAAAAAAGTTCTGTAGTCAAACTACATCCATATTTATCGTCACACTTTCATCATGATATAGCTTAGGCAATCATGAGTTTCCCCCTGTCTACAATCCCAAGAGAATCCACTTATTATTTCTGGACGAAGTGACACCGGGGTAGATTTTTCTCCACGAGTTTCAACTTCACCCTGCCAATTATCATTCCATCGGTGCCTAATAAAATCCACTCATATGTGACTTAAGTACCAAGGGAATCAGTCTTACTTCCCGCTTCAAAAGCTGCTAAACAATGAAAAAATACAAATATTCCTTTATGATGATGTAAGTTTTACACTACCAATTCCTGTTTAATATGCTCTTCTATGATCCACACACAAAATTAAAGAACAATCCCATATGAGACATAACAAACAGCTTACCTACAAAGCACGGAGTCAAATTCAGAACAGTTATACTGTGTCTACTAAATTAATTCTTGATGTTGAACTCTCAGCTTCTATGACAACTTTAACCCCTTCAAAACAGTTGCTGGAATTAATACATTCCACAGCTTTGCCACTTGAAGCTTCTGAAATAGGCCATGAGGCATTTGGATAAAAGCAAATATGGCATAACTTAGTCTGTAATTTATGGTATAAGGCTTAGTGTGCTTAAGAAGTGTCAATCCTTGTAAAACTACCCTTTCTCTCCTGGAAAATTCAGCATTGTTCATATACTACAAACCAACATCCAGCTCTAAAACTGCCTGGGAAACATTCTCTAACACATTCAAGAATGAAATGCCATCCAAAGCTTCCTTTCAGGGTAACTGTAGCATGGACATAAGGCCATTAGCAGTAAACAAGAAAAACCAAGGTCCCCTCCATTCCTGAAACAAATCATAAAAATTCCAGCCTTTTGTACTCGTAGCTGTAAATCTGAATATGTTTATGAGTTAACACTTTTTCATAAATAGAATTTATTCTTCAGAAAAAGGCATATTATTTTCATTTTCATATGGGCTAATGAATAAGAAGTGTCAAATCTCTTTTATATTCCCACAATCTTTTGTGCTTGGTTTCTTTCCCACTCTTTCCTCTCTACTTTATGTCTTCTTGTACCTGGCTGAACCATCTTATTCTGGGTCATCCCAGGTCTCCTTTGCAGACTCATGATGTGGAAGCAACACCAGCACCACTCAATCAGGGGTTATGAAATTATGCGCAGTAATAGTTCTTAAAAAATAGGCAACTGTTTTATGGCACTTCTGTGGAAAATAAAATAAAACGACAGCAGCATGAGATCTATATTTAATTTTCAGTTTGATGGTAAAACTAATGAATTTGAGCCAGGCATATGAAACCTGGCAGGGATACAGACCATAAACATACCTATAATTTCCATATGAGATACTGTTTTTCAGTGGATATCAACAAACAAGGGGTGATCCAAATGTTGAAGTCATGTCTGCCAAATTTAACACAGACAAAACGCAAGTTCTTCCAAATGAATAATAATAATATATAGTTGCAAACTAAAAAATTCTGACTATGATTCAATCATATATCAATCTACGCCTGGGTCTAGCACACTGCCCCAACAATTTAAATTGAATTACACTGTGACATGAAAGGATAGTCTAACAAGAGAAGTAATCCATTGCTAGGTAATGGGTTGATAAACAAACAAGCTGTCGCTAGGCAATGGCTCCAACAGTAAAACATACATTCTGCAACAATCTCATCTGCAGCCAAAAGGTAAATTAAACATCATGAATCAGTTCTGTACCCTTTAATGCATAACAAATTCCAGTGCTTTATTAATATAAACACAAAAATCACATATATAATACAAATTCTGATATAATGGAATACAAGACATGCAATACACAGTACAATGCATGTGCAATGAAAAATAACCCACTTGCTTTCTCACATTCCATGACCTCCACAGACACTACTTTGGTAACATCAAAAGATTTTTGCACCACCTCACCAATGAATTAACACTTCCTCACATGGATAAATTAAGAGAAGCTCCTAATTGTTTATGATACCATGATATTTTTGGATGGTATTACACCAGACATAATTTATACAAAATCTTCTGACACATGACCAAGCATTCAACATACCTGAAACCTGGTACAAGCTTCCATGCAGTTTCTTTTGTACATTTTGTTCCCTAGCAGATATTAGCTAAAACTGAACTACATATCAAATTAATGAATTTTTAACTGAGTGTCTTCTTTTATATACTACTGGACCAGAAAGAGTAAAAATGCATATGAAAACTACTCTTAAAGGAAACATTATGAGCACTTTGACTGCTATAAATGTCAAGACTGCCCATACTGAAGCAGTGATTTTAGGATACTAAAGGAGTCCTACATGTTTCTGAACTTTGGTGTGAAATTTCTCACAAATTAGATCCCTGTAATTTTACTCTAAATGCTGATCCCTGAATAACATTATCCACATCATTTCTTATCCATCCATTAAAACTTGTTTTTAAAAACCTTGCCTTTTTACAAATTATATTTAGTCTCAAACTCAAATGTAATTTAAACAGTTCCACAAGCAACAACTCACTAGCATGATTCATACTCATTTGAAGTTATGACAAAAATTTCCATATACTTATGTGAAGATTGTAATGTTTCTTATCCAACTGTCAATGGACTGAACTTCTGACCATTTGTCAGCAATCACTTAAATGTCTGAAATGCCGCAGAGGGTGTAGCCAGAATCACTGGCAGTATGGTAACTTGGATATGGGATAGATGACTAACAACTGTGATTCAATTTCAGGCAAGGGCAGGTGATTTTTCTCTTCTGCACAGCATCAGACCAAGTCTGGGGCCAACTCAGCCTCCTATCCAATGGCTACCAAGGTTTCTTTCCCCAGGCATAAAGTGGTTATGGTGTCCAACTGAACCACTCACATCATCTGGTGCTGAAGTTATAAATGCACAGAGCTATACTTACACTTCTCTATTTGTCTTCACAGCACAATGCTTCATTAAAAACGGTAGCAACTTAACCTCTACTGTACTGCAGAGGGTATAACTTTCTTCACAAACTTTACTGGGTGGTTTGTAAGTTAAGCAACACAGGACCAAAAGAACTGTTGAAGGTAGGACATGTGGAAGACAGCTCTGATGATGAGCTAAAATAGAGAAAACCCACCCACCTACATCCAATCAGCTGCAGTGTGTTTATTTCAAGCAGAACTCTAGAGCCAAGTCTGAAATATAAAGGCCACATGCTTTTTACCATGTGATTTGCTTAAGAAAAAATTACTGATTCTTTCTGCAGCAAATAAAGTGGTATATAATATAATCTAAACATAAAAGCAGAAATTGCATACATTTTTATTTAAATTACTTCTACAAACGTTCTACATGTGATAAACAAGTAGGCAAGTGCAAGAATGACTTTATGTTCAGGAGAAGATTCTGGAAACAATTCATGAATTGAGACAAGATTGATACCCTTCTCTTCTGGGTCAATTCTTTTACAATGCATAAAAGTGTACTAATTGTCCCTTCTGTCCTCAGATTCTTTTCAAATAAAAACATTTCATAAATCATTACATTAAAAAAATAAACAATTCTAGGGCCATGTCCTCTTTCATTAGGAAGATGAAGCATGCTACTGCAAGCAAAAGCAGTTTATTAAGCATTAAACAAGACTAGTGAGAAAACACTTAGCCTCATTCCCATATTTGTTTTGGACCACCCTGATCATTTTAATTTTGTTTCAAGTCAGTTTGTACAGTCAATGTATGCAAGCTTCACATTTCGGTATTTTTAGATTTTAAGCTTGATCTTGGGGCTACATTCTGACATGTGAAGCAACAAAAGACATAGGAGGGCAAAATTTTGGGCAAGAGGTTAGAATATCAATGCAAAAATTGGTATTAAAACATCAAGATACAAGTATAACAGCAAGGGTAATAAACAGGAATATACAGAGAGAAACAGGATAAGATGGTAAGAAACCACAAGGGTGAAGTAGAAATACATTTAAATGACCAATAATGAGTACAGGTGGTAATAGCGTGTAATTAAAACGTAATTGCATAACAGAAGATTTCTATACTATAGGAATACTCATTTAAGCAGGACGCCAGAGTGTAGAACCCATGAGTCAAACACTAACACTTCGGAGTGTAAAACATAACAGACCTTATAAATTTCCATTCACTAATTATATTTGATATAAATTGTTCTTACAATTTTTCAAAATCCACAAATACAACTGCAAATAACTGGTGAAGGTAAATGAGCTAACTCAGTATACTGAGTTGGTTACAGGATGGATGATAGATGTGGTGGAGTTCAATTCCCGGTAGGGACAAGAGAGTCTTCCCTTCTCCAAAACACTCAGGTTAGTTTCTGAGGGCCCTCTAGTCTCCTATGCAATGGATACTAGGGTCTCTTTTCCCTGGGGGTAATGCAACCAGGTAATGAAACTTACCACTCACCTCCATCTTGTGCTGAGGTTAAGAAGGTTGGAGGTAGATGATTACAGCACTGTCAAATGATATGATTCAGAAGAAAGTAGTCATGGCCTAAACAACTTAAGATCTTTAACAGTGAGGTAATACAGAGGCCAAACTCCCAATATTTCTCAATTAACTGTTTCATTGTAAAGGTCAAATAATAAGTTGTGGGTCTGTCCCAATGAAATGCATGCTGCCCCTCACTAAGCACTGCTTCTAAATATTCTTTTTTCTTTTCTTGGATTTTATTAGCTACAATTATATTACCAATTTCATACCAGGAACTGAGAACTGCAATCTTTCTGTAATTATGGCAGAATTTGCCTTCTTTCTTATATATCAGTAACATAAAATTAAACATTACAAGATTTGGATGACCTCTGGTGACAAAGTCCACACTAAATTTCACAAAAATCAGTCAACTTCTTCCAAAGTTCAAATGGAGGACAAACAAAAAGCACAGTGACCTCATAAGCCTACTTTACTTAAGGAAGAAAAGTAGGCTAAAAATGAAACTGTCATATCCCTGTAATTATAGGATCTTGTAAACTTGGCTGAGCATTCAATATGCAGATAAACCTGTTGTATTAATTACTGAATTATCTCCTCCCCACTTCAGGTAATCAGCGCTACAAAACCAACCTAGGAAATGTGATATAAATCTTTGATGATATTCCTCATCTATGAATTATAAAAAAGTGCTTTAAATGGTCTCTAATATATCACATGCAGCCTACACTAATTATGCAACTGTACAGTATAATATTATTAAAAGATGCCAGCAGGAACCACTTCAAGACTATCTTCATGTCTTGTATAAAATTGCAGACAAGGTGACCATAGTCTGCATACAAGATCATAAAGGTACGCTTACAAAAGCAAACTGGTTAAAAGAACAATTACATTTAACAGTACTGCATATACTGCCCGTTTTAAATAACAAATTTTGGCAATTAAAACTAACCTGGTCCACCTTCCATCATCAGATTAACCCCCTCAATGACAGGTTGAAAATGCATACCTCTTTTACCTTACAACAGTTATGTTGCTTCATGCATAACCAAGAATGAATAAAATAAATGCTTTCATCTTTTGTTTACTGTTACATACATTTAAACACTTATTAAACAAACAGGAGTGGATCAGGGATATTACAGAATATGATGCTGTATTCAAAGGGATCAACAATAATGCTGGGTAGAATATACATAAAACCCAGTTTGTTTTTAATAGTGCAACATACATCAACTTCATCAATCAGGCTTCCTTTCTTTTGTGAATTATTTAATGATGATGTCGGTACCTAAATTCATCACAATGAGAATGAATCTGCAGTACAAAGTTTGAGATATACTTGCTGTCAAAAGCAACAAAAAATCACATTCATAGCATTAACATATAAAACCTTTGAACTTGTTTCCCATACAGCAGGCACTTTCCACACCTGTATACATCTTCATATGACAGATAAGGTCAGCAATCAGGAGCTGGGAAGAAAGAAACATAATTACTCAGCAGGACACAATACACAGTACTCCATAGACCAGAACACTTCTTGCAAAGCTACTATTTGCTCAGCTAGTCAAGAAATTCCCTGCCTTTTATGAAACCCAAGAGTTCAGTATGTGTTTGCAAGAATTTGCCACTGGACCCTTACAAGAAAAGAGCCTCATGAATCACCCTGATACTCGTACCCCATTTCTTGAAGAACAATCTTACCACTTCACAATGGTTTCAGGTAAGCCATACATCAAGCATTTGAACACCCTACTTCCTGTACACTGTACATGAACCTGCAAACTGCACTCCTATGGCTCCTAGCCATGAAACTAGGAACTATATGAAGCGTGGTTTGAACTGAACTAGGAACTGGGCACAAGAGTGACTGATCAGCGGAATAAACCAAAAACTTGAGGCAGTTAAGGTATTTAATTTTTTCCAAAACTTCTAATCTACAACAATCTATTTTGTCTNTACATAGTCTAAAATAGTTCACGATGAAGAGTACACAGAATTTCCAAATATATTCTCTGCTTTCCTGCATCACTCACTTGTTCTGAATTAATTTAATTCAAATAAAAATATATTGAAATATGAGGATGGTCAGATGAACACATATATGTGACTTCCCTACTATTCATTTTGCATAATACACACTTAAAAAAGCAAGGTTATAAACCACACAAGATAATTTCATTCACTTTTCCATGAAAATGCTGTAAGACTTATATGTTTATTTACGCATTTCTGAATGCCAAAAATTTCAGTTAAAACATTACTGGTACCATTTCTTCCTGTTTCCTGCATGAGTACAGTTTCGCACCTTAAAATATGCTCACTTGGTAGGTCTCCGAGTGGGTTCTGAGGCTGTTGGTGGTGGGGGCGGTCCGCGCTTATCCAGGTCTTCCAGATATGTGACAATCAGCTTGGTCCTTTCATCAGGCATATAGTCCAGAACCAAGTAACGACGATCCTTCTTCAAGATCTCCTCAATTTCACGTATGTGTTGTTCATTTTCTTGTACTAATTTCAACGACTTGTGATTGATAAGTTTTGTCTCCTGCAGGCAAAAAAGCATCACATGCACCACAAAGACACTACTTATGAAAACTGCACAGATAACTTTCATTACTTTCATCTCCTCATATCTGGTAATAATATCCCTTTTCTTGTTTCAAAATTTTATTGCTCTCCTGCACCTACTGTCTTTTCCCAGCAATTATATTTCGGTACATTTATCTTCCAGTCTATTCCTTCTACAAACGTTTAATGACACACTGCTGCCATCCATAAATGGCACTAAGTTATCATTATAATCTTCTCGTGCTAGATGGATATACAAAGAAGGCAAGAAAAAACATCACATACAGGACAATAAACAACCAGTAACGATAATACATACTGTCACACGACAATTCATTCATTTCTAAATATAGTTATATAAAAATTTGTTCATATTTCATACAGCATTCACGTTAAATCATGATCATTCTAATACATAAATATATCTGTTTAGTTATGGAGTTTTGTTCAAATAAAAGATATGTGTGTCTAAATTTCACACAGTTAAGGCCCACTACTTATAAATTATACTTACTTCAAATACATATCAGGGGGGGGGGAAACGCTTGAACACACAATCATTAACGAGAGCAATACGAAAATGGAACTTAGGAAAACTGATCTGCAAGATATGAAAATGGACTGAAGAAGCTGATTTCAGGATCCAGTAGTTAGGTCGTGTCATCAACTTTCAGGTTAAAACAAGGATTTTCTTCGTCACCAAAATAACAATGATCGGTCAGTTATTTACTGACCACAGGGCTGATTAATTTTAAGTGTGATGTCCAAGATACCCTATATGATCATTCCAATAATAATTCCTGTTTCACCATACAGTTCCTATGAAGATTTTATAGTGCTAAGATTCAGTAGATTTGCTTTAGAAAGGAAAAAATTACATCATGTGACAATTTAACAGAAGCTCTGTATACAAAATATCTGAAATCTTATATTGATATGTGCTACTGCCATCTGATTTGCCATGGTAAAGGTGAAAACTAATTCAACAGGAGCATGTTTCATTCCTGAGGAGCCAATACATTAATTAAAATAAAAATTCAAATAAACCAAACACTTTACTGGTATTCTTTTACACACAGAGGATCTTCGGAGATGGATGCTGAAAGGATTAGGTTTCCCATAACCTGTGTGCATCTTCTTCACTGCTGGGCAATATGTAAGAACAATGGAAAGGTGCACTTCACTGGGGTGCACGTTTTTTTCAAACATATTCCTTGCTATTTTGCATAACTTATTAGCCTTGATACAAATCCAATGATTCAAAACTAAACACAGTAAAGATGCTGTGCCATGAAACTGTTCAGGGGTGGGTTCCAGGTTATTTTATAGGGCTGTCAATACCTATACTACACAGCACTGGAATGGTATGATGACTGATGAAACGGATGGGAGTAGCCATGAATTAATAAAGGTACTATCCTGGCATCTTCAGCAGACCAAGGGAACCCCCCCCCCCAAAAAAAAAGAAAATTCTCAGTCAGGATGGCTGATGATCTGGCTGAGATTCAAACCATGCACCTCCCAGGTATGAGTTGATAGCATTACTGCTAAATCAACCAACTGTTCTTCTTCTTTGCATTTCATTAAATATCCCAGCACTTTAAGTGTATCAAATTAAAGCTGCTGAGCTGTTCTTATGTAATTTATTTTGTACAACAACTTCTCCTTCCAGTTTCTTTTTTGTGCGAAAATGAACCAAGTAGAATCTATGCCTCATGTAAGGCACCATGTGAAAAGTTTGCCCAACAGCTTTTAGGGCATACTCTCCACACTGAATTTCAGTGCAGTTCATTCATTAGTTCTGGAAATATGAAACACAAGGACAGACAGATGGACATGCTTCCATGTTAGGCAGGGAACATATGATAATAGTTAAGTGCAAGCTAATGAGGTCAAGTAAGTCAAAAACCTGTTTTATAACACAAAATATTACTATTAAAGCCATTTTATAAGCCACAATATTATGATTAAACGCCCTCACAATTTTAAGAAGCATTAAAATGAAAGACAACAATTATGCACACAAGGATATAACCAAAATAATTTATTACATATTTTTCTCTATGGCTCTATAGCCCTTTGGACCTTGGCTGCGTTTTCAGCTGAACCCTAAACAGAGTTGGTAGGACCCTTTGAACGGGGCACCAGCCCGTCACAAGGCTGCCACCTACACACAGAACAAGACAAACACAAAATAAATGCACAGAGACATCCATGCCTAGAGTGGGATTTGAACCCACGACCGCAGCGTTTGAGCAGATAAAGATGGTTCATGCCCACTGTGCAGCCACTGTAATCGGCAATTTATTACATACCTGCAATAATTCTCTAAAATCTGCTTTGGCTGCAACTAGCTTGTCTTTTATATATTCTTTGAATTCTCGTTCACATTTCTGGAAGAGAGAGAAAAAACACAACTTTATTCCTCAGCTTTTGACATTCTATGAAGGAATCATGTAACACCGAAATAAAACTAATGCACTGCCTTATTCCATCTTCAAAATAACTGAATTAGTTGCACCCAAATAAAATATTACACAAGTTAAACATCACATAACCTTATATCTTGTGAACAAGTAACCACACATGCTTCTGAAGGCCACTTAATGTGATGTAGGTTACTTCTTCCTATCTTGCATAACTCAGAAACACAACAGACTAAAAAACACCCATGTACTTTTCAGAAGACTGTTCAAAACAGTATTGTTTTGAGAGAAATAAATTCAGCACCACCACACTTCCAATTTAAATAGGAGGAAAAATAAGCATAACATGGCAATATAAGTCTAATACATTCATGACTTTCCTATTGGCTAAAGAGTTCAATTACATGTACAGGGCAAAGTGGAAAAACTGAGGCATAGCATCTTTTTTATTTGGTAATGATGTCATTATACACACTATGACATTATCTGAAAACCGAGATAGCGGAACCAGAGTAGACATTCACGCTAGGCAATGACTCGGTACACAGGTTCCCATGGCAATGAATACATAAGACACAATCAAAGCACTGCTGGGCTATTATGATGGAAACCGCATTTTCTGCTGAATCCAACCCAAGGCTATATAACAAGGAACCAAGGCTGACTGAATTAGAATACTGGGAGTTGCTTGAGATGGCAGTCAAAGATGACTGGGAAGAAATGTGCAAAGAAGACTTCATGTGTGCTGCAGTTATAGTGAAAGTGGTGTAATTACTCTGCTGAACTCTACTGTTAGGATATAACCAGTGAAGACAGAGAACACTGTGTGTGTGTGTAGAACAGTATTAGCGCTGTATTACTTCTAGATATGAGCTGAGTTTGTAAGTGCAATAAATCTAATCATCCAAAACAAACTCCTGAAACAGACATGCATCCCCCCTAAAACATGACAATACTTATTTTTTAACAAGTCTGCATCACATCTCAGAACAGCAGTTATGTAAATGAAGAAAATCTTGTGGCCTCCTTTACTGCTACAGGATATCTCATTAAGTCTGGAACCACAGGCAATGGTTCAGAAGCATAAATATATCACCATGTATAACAAAATATACCATACAGCAGGCATGGGGGAGATGAGAAATATAAACAGAATTTTGGTACAAAAATTTGAAGGAATGACGCTTCTTGGAAGACCCAGGAATATAAGGGGCAGTCAAATGAAAACGGGTTACCACGCATAACTCACACGGCGCACAAGTTGGTAACACTGGAATTTGCTTATGGTATGAACATCTGGTGGGGACTCAGGAAATCACAGTGACAATGTGCCCTTGCACACTAGTTGTTTCTTTATTGCTCTGGAAGCCTTCAGGTTCCTTAAGTGTGGGGAATTTAAATGGCTCAGCAACTCTTAGCTTCCAGAGAATTCTAATTCATGAACTCAGTGCAACAAATTACAACATATCCTAAAGATGCAAACCTACTTGACAATATAAACTGCCATACATAAAAAAAAAAGACTACCAGAGTTAACTATGTAGCATCTACCTTGATATTAGGTAGCCAGTTTCACTGTGTAAACAATAATTACTGTCAAATTTAAGTTTTTGTTATATAAATGAGGCTTGCAAAACCATATTAACAAAATACTAGCTTAGAAAGTATAAATTAGAATACATTATAATTAAATACATTAGTATAAATAATAATTTACTACTGTACGTTTTATTTCGCCAAATTGCTAGTGACGGGCAACTAGAAACTTATTGAAATGTTCAAACTGTTANCCTGTGGCCTGAGTCGCCACGTTGCTGCTGGGTAGGGAGGGGGTCTCCGTTCCGCAACATGTTACAATATATTTACCCTGTCACTAGAAGAGAACTTGCTGTATCTTGGATCATCTTTAACCAATTTCTTTATCTCCTTCCAGGAACTAGTTAATGTCACTTCTCCTGTCTCATCCAACAACTCTCTGAAACATAAACAAGTTAAACATACTGAGTTCTGAGGTAACAATGAATATCCACAAATATATACTCCACCTCAGCAGACAAACTTCTATAGAGATTTCAATTCAGACCTTTTTTTTCAAAATGGTCTTACAGTACTAAATAGCTGCTAGCACAGTTGTGTGAAAAACTGTTTCCCATGATACAGAATTAAAGATCAATGTCAGGCATTCATATCTACATCAAATTGTTTTACTGGTTTAGAGCCCTTCATTGCACATATACCTAATTAAATGGAGTTTTCAACAATGTGCCCTCCTTTCACCTGCGTCATAAATTGTTGTGTTTAAAATATAAAGTATAATGTCAAGTTGTACTTGACAACCACCACAATCCTTTAAAAAATCATATCCAGTCTTAAATACTGACAACTGCTTCTATTTGCATCATCCATCTGCCATGGTCAAGGCTCGATAAAACCCACGCATCTGCTTGTCCATGAAGAGTGAAAAAATAATGCTAAGGAATGGGAAAACTGTTAAACATACTGCTTAATGTTAATCTTCCCTCTCCTCTTTTATTTCTCCACAGATGTCAAACAGTGAATTTGAAAAGGAAACAACTTTTGTGTACTTGTTACATGAGGGACAACAGGCATTTTTATGAGCCCTTGTGTGTTACGTGATGGTATACATACTGGGGAAAAGGCATTTCAACAGCATTTGCAGGTATAGTTTCTCTTGTGGAAAGTGTCTGGTGAGCATAATTTTTGTCTGACTGGTAAACTGAACCAACACTGTTGCCCCCTTGCTGATTATTTGTACACTTCTTCCTTCTTACTTACCAACTGAACTGCCTCAACAAATTTTCTCCAATGGCTCAATTTGAAGTTTTTCTGTACTTTAATAAAAATGCATGCAATTTTATACTACCAAAAATTATGCAATAAATTTATGCAGAGTTCTTTTACCCGATACTATACTCTATCAATTTACAGATACTGTGACATGACAGATGAAGGCTGGAATAATTTAACAAGATGTCACCACTGCTAGGCAACGGCATGGTAAACACATTTCCACAGCAATAAATCAACATGTAACAATGGAGGACTGTTTGGAAGCGGTTATTTCCTATGCGATCCGTGTCAAGGATATAGAGCGAGGACCAAAGTTGGAGGTCAGAGTCAGCCATTAGCAGTCTTGAGTAGCATTGTTAGCAGGTGTTACCTAGCAATGACTAGTCAACAAACAGAAGACTTTACGTGCGCTGTAGCTGTAATGATCTATAGATGTGTAAATCAGTGAGACTGCTATAGTTATTCATAGTTACAAGTTATAAGTGTTCAGTAAATCCAACCATCAATCCAAAACCCATGTCTAGTCACTAATACGTGGCAATGTGGCATCCCTACTAAATATGGCCTTCACACTCTCTGCCACTTACCTGAACTTTTCCTTCTTTTTCTTAGCCAATTGCTCAATATGCTGGTTGAAAAGCTTCTCCTTCTCTTCACGATCCAACAGTTCAGCTAGTTCCCAACGATGATCTTTCCGCAGCTGTCGCTTGGCTTCACGCCATGCCAGCTCTGCATTGCGGACCTATATAACCAATGGGGTCAGATTCATATATGCACTTTTGGTGAAAGGTCTGACAAAAATCTTGTACTCTTCTCCAAGTATAATTAGAATGATCAAGTCCAGGAGGATGAGGTGGGCAGGGCATTTAGCATGAATGGGGGAGAAGAGGAATGCATATAGGATATTGGTGGGGAACACAGAAGGAAAGAGACCAATGGGAAGACCAAGGAATGTGGGTGAACAATATTCAAATGGACCTTAGAGATAGGCTGGGATGGTATGGACTGTATTGATCTGGCTCACGATAGGGACCAGTGGAGGGCTCTTGTGAACACGGTAATGAACCTTTGGGTTCCATAAAATGCTGGGAAATTCTTGAGTAGCTGCAGATTTGGCTTATCCTCATAAGTAAATAAGTAAGAAAGTAAGTCTGACAAAAGTAAGAACAGTAAGTCAACATTAACACATGAGGATGTTTTATTTTACAACAGCTGCAGTAAATTGATAGCATTTGCCAGAGAATGTGCGTGCAGCCTTGTTTTGAGTACTTGTAAATTCCAACATATGGGATTAAATCTCTTATACAATACAATTTAATTCACAATGATCATCTATTTCACTGTATACTTCCACACTCGTTAAGAACTTCATGCCAATAAGAAGACTTCAGGATTGTCCTTGTGTCCTGATGGTTACAGCAAGTAGGTTGTTATTGATGGCTGATTTTCTTGTATTCATTTCCTAATCAGAATATCAACATTTTCAAACTCAAATTCGTTTTACAAAAGAACCAACACAACACCACATGAAGGAGTCCTCAAATGAGGCAAATGTGAATACACACGTCAACACCCAGAGTTAATTTTACATATACATACACAGCAAAGAGTAAAAATTACAGTGATATAAAATGTAAATCTTTCTCCACTTACCAGATCAGCCAACAAAGCATTGAAGTGTTGTACAGCTTCATCATGTTTATGTTGCTCACGTTCTTTGTCACGATCCCGCAGATGTGTAGCAAGTGTGCGCTGTACTTCCTTTTCCCTCTCTCGTAAACTTGCCTCCATACGAGCTTGTTTCTCCTTATCCTTCTGCTCCTTTTCACGTTCATCATCAGAGTTGTTTACATTCTCATCCTGGAATCAAACACAAAATTAACGTAATGTTGCTAGGCAATGAGAAACACTGCAGAGCTACAGAAACTAGAAAAGCCTCAAGGAAAAATAGTTCATATCAAAGATAAATATTCCCTTACCTCACTTACATCATTCACATCTCCTTCCTTTTCTTTCTCCTTTTCCCTCTCTTTCTCTTTTTCTTTCTCCCTTTCTCTTTCTCTTTCTTTCTCCCTGTCTCTCTCTTTGTCTCCTTTGTCTTTACTCTCCCGTTTGTCTTTGTCACGTTTCTCTCTATCCCTCTCCTTCTCACGCTTGCGTTCCTCCTTCAAGGCCTTGACATATTCACGAAACCAATCTTCTCGCGCAGAACTTGATTCCACTGCTTTATAACGTGGATCCATATCAAGTCTCTTCTTCACATCACCCCAGCGCGAGTGGCGATCAATATCTGCATGTTCTCGCAAGAGAGCAATGAAGTCACGTTTCACCTGGAAACACCGCACACAAATCTTCAGCTGCATTCACAGATGCAGGAAAGGTTCACACAACCCGCAAAGAGCTCCCATTATGTTCGGCACTGTCACAGTAACATGCGTATCAACCATTCACTTCAAAAACATGACACGATTATTACACTGGCAGATTTAAATACTTAAAAGTGGAGATTTTCCACTAATGAAACACAATTCCTTTTGTGTCACTGAATATACTAGACAGAAATTAAGAAAGAACTTAACACCTTTAATGTAAATAATAAAATTCTAAAATCCACATCACAATGGTAATATCACATTCTACAAACAGAATAGAGAAGAATTCCAAAGAAAATTTTAACATAAATCCAAAATGATGACAAAACATAAGGGAACCACAATTAAGATGGAGGGACCAACATAATCTTGAAGAGAACGTAACAGACCAAGCATGGCCTAATCCATAAAGCACAACAAATAATAATGAATTTTTACTGTTCAGAAAGAATTTGTGGTCCCAAACTTCACTTGCACTGATTAAACAAAGAACAAAATCATCACACCGAACATAAAGTCATTATGTCTTTCATTTACCGAACAGGACTTTAGTACATCTACCACCTTAAAATTGAACAGGCCTTATGTGAAAACAATTCTGCATTCAAAACACAACACTTTATTATATATAGGTCACATTAAGATGTCCCTGAGCTTAATTAAGCATCACACCATGAAGACGGATTGTGGAATGCAGATACAGCTCCATGCATTCATAACCTTGGTACCAGATGGAGATAAATGGTCTGCTTCATCTCCAGGGAAATAATCCTTCGTACACATTTGACAAGAGGTTGACTAGAGTCTCACAGCCAGTCTTGACACTGTGAAGACGAAAAATCTCTTTCCTGCCAGGAATCAAACCACGACTCCTTATTTGCCAAGCCTATAGCATAGTCACTATACCAACTGAGCTATGCTTTTCTATAAAAAGTAAAATGAAAATTATAAATGGTGATACAATGGCCAAGGATGACATGAAGAGATAAACGGGAATTAGAAATGAGATTGGCCATAAAACAAAAACCTCAGTGGCTGAACCAAGTGAAAAAGTAAGAAAGAAGTTGTGAATTATGGAGAATCAACCATAAGAAAACAGAAACATGTTTCAGAATTTATGTACAGGAGTGAAAATGAGGGAAAACAAGCATAATTATCTAAAATGAGAGCTGTGGAAATGTGTTTGCACAATGTATACACATGTCTGATCCCATCAGTCTATATTTTAAAATGTATATCATCAGTGAAGAATCTGCAGGGACAGAAACATGCTTGAATTATATATCAGTGTTAGCATAAATGACTTTAATTTCCATTACACCTTACATGCCACATCAAGTTCCTTATCGCACCAAGGGTGATAACAAATCTAACAGTCTGTAGCATGGTATTGCAGAGTTTCCAAAATGTCGTTAAGTTGCAATAAAACTGGAACATCACATAAAATCATCATGGAGTCTACCCTTGAGAGACCAAACATAAAACAGTTATGTAGGTGGGAATTGGCTGAGCTGATGGTAATTGGTTTTTGGGATGACTTTGCTTAAGTTTAACAAATTCTATGTAAATATGAATTTCTTGAACAGATGAAACAAAAACTTCTGTAGGTGTTGATGAGTCAGAAACAGGAATCTACTCATGATCTACTTTTACAACATTGCTTGTCATATATTAGATACATATGCTCATCCATTTTACAGGATGTAGGCACCCAGGCATTTTGCATTCTGAAATTTCAGAAGAATTGGTATGGGGATATTTCTGTTACTGTGACAGAGACAACATGTAAGTGAACAGTCAAATTTCTGCACTTGAACATTCCTGCAATAAAACATCAGATTAGGATACGTCAGAAGAATTACTAGCTAATAGAAATTGTGACTTCTTAATGTGAGTTATATCTGTAAGAAGATATCTTGTAAATGCAGATGCTTCAACAATAACTTGGTTTCTTCATCACTTATCTGTATGTGTACAGCTTCCAAACTTACATTGGTGGCATTAATTACAGATCTTGTGGAAGCAAAACTTTCTGTCTTCTGTAAAACTTTTTACTCCATCACAGAGATGTGAAAACTGACATATATTTTCTCTCTTTAGCAATATTCTACATTTCTGTGTTTACACTATTCATTTTACATTTACTTCATTCACAGAATCTAACAGTTATGTTCATGTTTCCTTGCAACAGCAAAAGATCCAGAACTTAATAAAACTCATAAGCTGAAAAAGAGACAGTTATTATTAAAAGTTTGTTAAGCAGGGCTCAAGCATCAAAGTTTAATGGAATCATGATTTGTCAAGTGACACAAAGCCAGGGAAACTTTAAAATGCAAAGGAGTCTAAAACTGTTACAGACAAATACTTTTCCCACAGACTTTCACTGAACTCATCACTGTTAACAAATCATGAATTATGCCAACTTCAGAATACAGTTACATTAAAAAGCAAGAAATTATTTTAAGAGACTGAAATTTGAAATATGTACAACATACACACTGAGCCTTGCTTTCAGATTTAACATTCAGCAACCAAATCCATTTACTGCAGTCTTCAAAGCACGTACATTAAAATGTGTTATATTTACCACCTAAAATACTCAGATTCTATGGTTTCTGAAACCTCCTATTACAGACTGAACCAATCCAAAATCTATTTTATTATTACATCTGGCTCAAATGTTACTGTCTTCAGGCAATCTAACCAGGCCACATCTGTCAACTACTAACTATTTGGTAATACCAGACAGTATCAGAAAACACTAAACAGATAGTTACCACTTCTGAATGTGGCATGATTGCTGAAATCGCTTATCTTCCATCAGCAGACATTTGTTCTACCTGGCAAAATTGCAACTGTAGCTGTAAAAATTACATATAAAGGTCAAGAAATTAACAGTATCACTGCCAGATTCAGCAGTGCTAACTAGTACAGTTTATCTGCAGCCAAACCAAGAACCGATCTTTGAAAACAGTGTGACCATCAACTTCCATGTTCAAACTGTGGCCTCAAGCCAAGCTGGAGGAGCCAATAATACAAATACTCATCTTATTTTTAATTATTAAAACCAAAAGTTGATGTTTGCTATACCGTGTGTGAACAAAACTAGTACCAGCCAGAGAGTAGGCTACCGGTAGGTTCGGGTTTGGTCAGCAAGCCTTGGCAGGCAATGTTTAGGCTGGCGTCGTGACAGGAGCGGGTCGGACGCTTGCTGGCCACTTCTTGAAAGTGAATAGAGTTAAGTGTTAAGTTAGTTAAGTCAGATCGACTACTCGAATAACCTCGGACACTAGTAATATTAAAAGCATATAACCATTTTAACTATCATCATAAGAGGCCACAAGCCTTATACTCTGATCATCAGATCATTGAATTTATTTCTTTATTTTAGCAAACCAACTTGTTATCAGAAACTGCAGCTTAAACAGCAAAAAACATATGCAACTTCTCCAATTGTAAATGTATGTCATATGCAGCTACTTTTATTTCAAATGTAATTACTTAATCCATGATTTGATTTCTCTATTTCCTTCTCATACAATGTAATCTCATTTTAAATAAATATAGACATTAACATACCACCTGAAAAGAAATGGTTACAATCTGGCAAAACAATACATTTCCTGGAAGAAAATTTGTCAAATTCAGAAGCACAATAAAAACACTAAAAAGAAACACAATTAAATACATTCATTCCAGATACAGAGTCACTGATGAATGAAATGAACGAAACAGTTGTGAAGTGTCTCTTTCTTCAATAGAACTACTGTTCTTAGGATATGTAGAACACAACAATGATTGAACAAATAGTGAATCACAGACTACTTAGGTCAACTTAGACGTTGTCAATTAACTATATGGACAGAATACCTACACTGCACTTCGGCACTTCCTGCTTGTGTCCTCTCACTTCCATGCAGTTATTAACGTTCTCTCTCTCTCTCTCACTGCAGAGATCAATATTATAGCTCAAATAATAGCAAATATGGAATGTTTAACCATTCTGAGTCTTCTATAACCAGAATTTGGAACTCCTATTGTAACATGTTATTCGATTAACAAAAAACAGTTCATTACATTCGTAAGACTGATATGATATATTTCAAATTGAAGTTCTTTTTTCCGTTTATTCTATTTGTAGTTGTTTCAAACACAGTATAACTGCAATTTTACAGCCATGTTGGCAGTACATCATGCTCAATTCAGATTACATGCTGAACAATTATATTACTGTAAATCACTATTATCATGAGAACTACTTTTATCATAAATCTGGCTGTATGCCAAATATTGTGATGTACTCTTTAATTCACAAATTTATATTCAATATGAATCTATTAAATACTGTGCTTGTTACATGCTTCAAGTATTATCGACTTACTGGCTGTGTTTTTAACACACTAAATGATATTTAGCCAATGCAACACAATACTGCTGAATCTTCTTACAGACAATTACATGGAAACCTTTCATCACTTCATAAATTTTATTTTTTAGCGGCAGAACAGTCCAGCATGAACTTCTGACATGACATACGAGTCATATTTCACTGTCATCACAACCCTCTACAAAATGGCAAGATATGAGGGCCAAGGAGTAATAAAAACAAAAAGAAAAATACAACAAATTTGTTACAAATAATGACTGTTGGATTTCACTAGACTGCCCTTGCAAAGGGGACTTATACGAATTACAATTTTTATACAACGCATACCCCTTTCAATACATATAGATATCAGCAATGCAGCCTGTGTCACTGCCACCACAGTGAGAACCTCAAACCTGCATGTGCTACAAGCTGTCGGGTCAATTTCATTTTGGCCTGCAGTGATCCCATACAACTCTTCCTTTACCCTACTCCAAACTAAAATGTCATTTCTTTTTAAGACCAGCTTATCATGCAAGCATACCACATATAAATCTAGATGTTATTAAAATCTATAACCCTTACATGAAAATATTTCTGTGTACTGCATAGGGAAGAAAATGCCCGACTGAGTAGTGTGATTAACTTTTCGATAAGAGACATATTTTTGAAATAGCTGTATGTATGTATGTACGTACTCCAAACCTGAGTATACATTTCTAGAGGAAGACAATTTCATACAGGGTACCGCTTCTTTTAGAGTATGATTTATTTACATATTCTCACAACACAGCAGCAATACTATTTAACATGGTACCATCACAATATTCTGCAGCTGTGCATTTTTTCAATATTTCTGTGGGTTTTTTTTGGGTGTGTCCGGCATGGATTTTCATGCGGTTGCTAAGAGAAACTGAAAATGCATTACATAAAGCACTGTACTCCCTTTATGTCAAAAATTCAACTTGGAAGCTCCTGGTGATGAGGCTGTGCAGTTCTAAGGAAATAATAAAACCTCCAAACAAATACAGTTGTGAATTAGAAATAAAGTTGTCAAGCCTAAATATTCTTGCTATGCATGGCATTTCAATTCAGTTTCATACAGGAATTTGAGGTGATTATAAAGCAGCAAACTAAAAACTGTGCACAATTTTGAAAACACTGCCAAATTTTCATTTCATTACTCCCTTTTTTTTTAGTTTACTCCAACACACAATACAAAAACAAACAACAAATACAGACTGAAGCATTAAATAATCAATCAATCAACTGATCATACCATCTTAATTTCATGTCTAGCTCTGGGGTCCTTATTTTGTCTGCAACTGAAGTCATCTCACCACTATACATGAAGTTAAAACTAAGTCACAAGCCATTAAATTAAGAGCATAAGAGTTGTATTAAAAAATAAGAAAACTGGAAAGACTATGATGCTTGCTTTAAGAAAAAGGTGTCGCTCTATTCAGTGTATTCATGGTTTTAGAGCCTTACAGCCCCCTTTCAATTGTATAATACTGAGCATTATTGAAAAGATAAATTTTAATATTCTAAACATTACATTTATTTTCATTTCTTTTGTACACCAATTTGTACATTCTGAACAAAAAGTCAGACACAATGCATTAAAGTCAAGAAAATTCAACAGTATTCTGCTGTAAGAACAATGGCTAATATTCATCTGTCTTGGCAGGAGGAGGGGGAATGTAGGTATGTTCAGAGTAGCCTTACCTGCTCACGTCGCATCACCTTCTCCTCCTTCTCCCTTTTCCTCACATCCAGCAAGTACTCATTAAATAAGCTTTCACGTTCGCGCATCTTCTCTATGTTTCTAAACCTTTCATCTTTGCCATGCTTTTGGGCAAAGTCACTGAATGAAGATCTGTACAAGAAAGAATTATAGCACAACTTCAACCACTAAGCACAAGTTTTGTCTGAAACATCAACTCTTATTCATATGAACAAAAAACTGCTATGTTTTTAATTTTAAGGGAGGAACATAGACTGAGGGTGTCTGAGAACAGGGTGTTGAGGAGAATATTTGGACCGAAGGGAGATGAAGTGATGGGAGGCTGGAGAAAACTGCATAATGACGAGCTTCATACCTTGTACTCTTCTCCAATTATAATTAGAATGATCAAGTCAAGGATGAGGTGGGCAGGGCATGTAGCACGAATGGGGGAGATGAGGAATGCATATAGGACATTGGTGGGAAAGCCAAAAGGAAAGAGACCACTGGGAAGACAAGGCGTAGGTGGGTAGACAATATTAAAATGGATCTTAGAGAGATGGGATGGTGTGGATTGGATTGATCTGGTTCAGGATAGGGACCAGTGGAGGGCTCTTGTGAACACAGTAATGAACCTTCAGGTTCCATAAAATGCTGAGAATTTCTTGAGCAGCTGCAGAATTGGCGGCTCTTCCGGAAGGGTTCAGCTCCATGAGTAAGTAAGTAAGTATATGTTTTTAATTGAAGTAATAATCTACTATATGTTTCAGTTTTTGGTGAACCATATTCCAGTTGGGTATAATATAAAGCTGTGGGAAATTATGAAATAGCATGTTTAACTTTATCTTGAGATGAAAGCAATACAAACATATTATAACGAGATAAAAAAAAGGACCACCTCTGTGGTCTAGTAGTTGGAGTTCCTGGCTACAGCTCCACAGGTCCTGGGTTCGATTCCCGGCGCTATCAGATTTTCTGAGAAGTAGTGGGTCTGGAACGAGGTCCACTCAGCCTCGTGAGGATAACAGAGGAGCTACTTCAAGGAAATAGCAACTCTGGTCTAGAAAGCCGAAACTGATGGCCATGGGAGTCATTGCTCTGACCACGCAACGCCCTGTGTGTGCTAAAGTTGGCATCAACTTCACTGACAAGCAGCAGTCACTCGGTCAGTATAGTTCGCTTGCGGACTAAAGCCACAGAGTTTGTTGTATTTAATTAAGCACGGAGAGGTTGAGGTATAGCTTTACATGCCCTTAGACAGAACAGTCAGTTACAACCTCTTGCTGCTTTACCCCTAAGGAAAATGTCTGTGGTATCCACTGGGATGTCCTGAATGTGGTGGTAAATCAAAGAACGCTACCAACACCAAACACAGTTGCTGCTAGGTTACCAACTTGCAATCTATCATTTCAAAGCCATTTATATACCTACACAAAGATGATTCCCACCGAAGAATGCAAGTACCTCATAAACTCTAATAAGTTGGGCATAAAACCTAAGAGATGGGGGCAATTTCCATATCAGAGCAAAAGATACTGTCAAAATGAATGTCAAGTCAACAAAAATGATTCCACATTACAGAGTAGCTGTGTATTCTTTCTCAAACTCCAATGTTTTCACTGTTACAATGAGATAAATGCAAATATTTGCCTACTGATGTTTGAAGCCATTTAAATGATTCCAGGTTCTAAACTTCCTATATCAAGCATTCACTGTAACATCAGTTTTTCTTGTAACGAATCTTCCTATAAAGGAGTTCCATTGTATTATATGAATGGTGTATGGTATCCTTCTTTGTAACAGTAAAATCATATGCATTTCAAGCCTTACAGTTTGTTGGTCCCAACATTATTTGTAAATGTTAATGGGTTTTATATTTACATTACTCTACATGAAGGCAATGCTTTCAGCATGAACTGTTATATTCTGCTACTGTCAACAGTAAACTTGCCTGTAATGGTTGCCCTCCATAGGAGTTATTTAACATACTATTTAACTTCATACTTTTCTTGAGTTTAGTATTATACCCATGAAGATGACAAAATTGAAATATCCAGGATAAATAGTTCTAGAAGAGAACATAGCCTCCTATCAAACACCACTGTTTTAGGTATATATTATATAAAGCAAAGAATCAATTGAATCAAATCTTTTTTTTTTAGCTGTTCATGGAGTTAATTCTTGGCTATGTAGGTCTAATGATAGCATTCATATAGCACACACAGTATGAGTATATTCCTACAAAAAAATTTAACTCACTTTCCATGCAATCCTGCTTCCTCCATCAATCGCCTGAATTCATCTTTACGTTCCCTCATTTTATTTCTTTTCTCCCTTCGCTCCTCCTCAGCCCGTTCCTTCACATATTTCTCGAACACCTGCTTCCGCTCCTTGGATGTTAGGAGGAGATACCTAGGGTCAAAGACTATTTTATGCAGTTCCTTCTCCCATGTGCTAAAGGCAGAAACCTGAAATAATCAATAACACAACTATATCTCCACAATAAATAGTTAAGACATTGATTTTTCTTTCATACACATAAGAAGTATTTGTTAGAATTTCAGGTTCATCCATCTTTACAGTAGGGAATGACCTCTCAAAAAACTAATTAAGTGCCAATTATTTCTTCTGGGATATAATGCCATGTAGTCTGTTAGAAGTCAACTGCTGTTTCAACCAACATGTTGCTTCCATCTGCAGGGTCAACAAATAAGACAAGCATGAAATCAGCATGAAGCAGTTAGCAATCAGACTTGTAAATAATTATCGGCACTCCAAAATCTGTAGCTTCATTTAGTGCGACTTGTTAAGAAAACTGACACACCTTTCTGCTCAAAATCATTATCACACAACCACAATCTCTGACAACAGATGTAACAAACTGAATATGCAACCAAAGCCATTCCACGTGTCCTCGTATTCTGAACTGTTATGCCTTGAGTGTAGTACTGACTTTTCACCACTAGTGCACTTTTATTGCTATTTTTAAATCCATTGTTCATTATGGATACAAAAGGATGATGCTATCATAGAAAAACTCAGAATTACCCAACAGGAGAGAGAAAATCTGGCCTTCACAGTGGGAGGTGAGGGGAGGAGGAACACAGGCTAAAACAAAGAAATAAATGAACTCTGAGAGTTCATTAAATACCTCCTTTTCTGCCAGCATTTCTTTAAATGACTTGATGCGTATCTCAAGAGGTACAATGGCTCTTTCCCTGGCAGCCCGAACCTCTGCCTCAATAGCTGCTTCTTTTCCGATATCAATCTGCTTCTTGTCAGGTTTTGGCTGCTCCTTTGTCTCCTCTGAAATAAACGACAGTAATGGAACGTGGTTATCACCATACTTACTTACTTACTTATGTAGCTGAGCACTTCTGGAGGAGCTGCCATTTCTGCAGCTACTCAAGAATTTCCCAGCATTTTATGGAACCCGACCGTGTTCACAAGAGCCCTCCATTGGTCCCTATCGTGAGCCAGATCAATCCAATCCAAACCATCCCATCCTATCTCTCTAAGATCCATTTTAATATTGTCCACCGACCTACACCTTGGTCTTCGCAGTGGTCTCTTTCCTTCTGGCTTTCCCACCAATATCCAATTACCACCACAAGAACAACAAGATTTAAACCCAATTTAAAATGTTCCCAGCATAAAAATCTATCCTTGCAAAGAGCAATTCAGTGTAAAAACGTTGTTTTGTGTGGTGTACTACACTATATTATATCAAAGACTCGGCAAAAAACAAATATATGGAAAACTTATTTTCATTAAAATATTACAGCATTGTGAAATGTTATACCGAGGCAAATTTTCAAACAAGATACACCACAATTCCGTACTTGTGATCATTGAAACCGAACATTAAATTCTTAACTGAAGGAAGATTTAATGAGGGCTCAGCGATGTATAATTTGTAGCTGTATTCTGTTCTTTTCAATAAACAATTCACATTTTAAATTATGAGCATTTATACATTTAATTGAATAATCACTGTTTATTCCATCAGTTGGCATTTGCCTGAAAGGATTGAGAAAACCAAGCTCAAAACAAACAAGTCACATGCTCCAATATTCAGTTCAATCTTATTAGGGAGGGGGAAACAAAGGGTGTTATATTTATGAAAATATGGTATTTTAAAATCAGAAATTTATGTACACTCTTTAGAACACTTCTGCATTAGATCTGTAACTATAAGCAATATAAATACTTCCAATTCACACCTTTGACTGGTTGGTCATCTTTTTTAGACTTTTTGGAAGGTGTGGGATGATCTTCATCGCTACTATCAATGCTAGTTCCGGTTCTCTTCGTCACCACAGCAGAATTATTACTGGTCCCCGTTGTGGCCTGTGTAGTGTTTGGAGCATCAGGTGGGCTGGCCACCATCTTATCTACATCAGCACGACCCACCAGATCTTCAGGTCGCTCCCATACTGAAGTACGTGATGATGGATTGTAAAAGAAAACACGACCATCTCCTGTCCATACAACACACCTGAAATAATTTTATTTGCCTGAGCCTGATGGTTTCTGATGATGGTGTGTAAAAATGTCTGAAAGAAGTATACCTACAGCTGACTGTACACATTGCATTAATGAAGCATTTTTATACCAAAAATGGAATGATGTGCACCATACCAACACAGTTCTCACTGATGGACAAGTTAGAACATTACCAGTTTACATTCAATAAATTGCATAAACAAAGAAAGAAATTTCTCAAGGAAGTTTCCTTTTTCGTGTTATATTTAAGGTTCTCATGACACTGATTACAACTTCACCAGACTACAGGACATCAGGTGTCAGAAATAGTAATCTTAACATATTCCTGTGACATTGCCATCTGTGGTTTCGCCATGGACTTTATATACCTGTTGTTTTCCATCTGCATGAAGTTTTGCCAAATAGAATATGCAATGTCACGTATGTGTGGTCTTTTGTATGAGTACAAAAGAAAATGAGGCAACTGTATATGTTGCCACTGCCAGATGTAGGCAAGCATGCCAAATTTCCACTTGGATTAGCATACTGGCTTCAGATTTTATATCTTGGACACAAGTACATAGACATCTTTCACTAGCCACTTCTTTTGAAAAGAAGGGGAAAAGACTTTTACATCTTGAAGAGTTCTATCTTCTGGGATATAACACATGCAGTACATTGAAAGTCAACAGATGTTATGGAGGAACATGTTGCCTCCACTGTCAATGTTGTAGGGTTGAACTTGCTTCATGCTGATTTAACTTATTCTTTGACACTGAAGAGGGGGAGCTGAGGTGGTCCTCCAACACACTGGATGGCTTTCAATGGACTACAGGACATTATACACCAGAAGACAGAACTCTTCACAACCTCTGCTGTAAACACCTCAGATCCTTCTAAATCTTCATAAAGCAATTCACATTCTATGTGTTTTACCCATCCACATCAAAATATTATCAACAGCTACAGAAAAGAAACAATATATTAAAACAAAAGACTATTTGCTTGTGACCACTTATACACTTTTATACAAAATGGCAACATAATCATAGTTTTGAATGGTTTTTTAAAGTGTGTTATTTAACAATGCTTTCAGTACTGACACTACATAGCATTTCAGCATTTATATATAAGTCAATTTTCTTACCATGGAGTACCTGGAACAGGAGTACTAGAAACAGGTCTTGATTTGTCCTGTGCCTTTTGCAGTTCTTTGGCTCGTTCCTCTTCCTCTTCAGATTTCTTCTTTGACTTTTCCTCTTCAACTACCATTTTTTCATCTTTTTCATTGTCGCTTTCTGGCTCCTTTGTTGCATCACCATTAGTGATAGCAGTTTCAGCAGCTGCAGACTGACTAGGAGGCTCAGGCTCACCATCTGATGATCCCTTGGGACTTGCAGCAGGTGGAGCTCCTGCCGTACTAGGAACAGTTGAAACACCCTGAGCAGCAGCAAGCTTGGCAGCTGTGGAGAGCAAATTAAGTTATATAATAAGATACAGGTTGCATGAATTTTGCAAGCCGATGAGTACCCACAGCTCGTGCTGAGAACTACAGCAAATGGCAAACTGCAGACTGGCAAAGATACCGAACAGCTTCTAGTAGCAAAGGTTACTATTTCCAAGATTTTCTTCTAGAATTTGACTATAACTTGGGCTACTTAAGATCCTGTGCTTAATCAGACATTTATGGCATTAAAATAAAAATATCTGTATTTCAAAACATTTACTGATTTTATTACATATTTGTTTCTATTAAATTATGAAAAATGATGAAATATTGGTTTATTTATAACTGTGTCTCGTGCCAAATACTGGTCCCATAAGAATCACTGTTAACTAGTCACTAGCCACTATTTACATCTGTCCCAATATTTGTCTATGATTTGAGATCAACTACTATAATTAGCCTGGGGGTCCTAATTAAACATATACGGTATAAACATGACATGCTAGAAATTCAGCAGCAAATATTTTGCTGGGACGACAGGGGTCAAATTTTTGCAAACTGTACACAAAACTGTTTCTCATTTTGAGCAAATTACATATTTACTTGAATATAAGGGGGCACACAGTAGTGTATTCGGTTGAAGCAATATGCTACCAGCCGGAAGGTCACGGGTTCAAGTCCCGATGAAGTCATTGGATTTTTTTCAATTTACCTAATCTTTCCAGCCGCACTATGGCCCTGGGATCGACTCAGCCTCTAACAGAAATGAGTACCAGGAATATTCTTGGGGGTTAAGGGCGCCAGGCGCGTAGGGCTGACAAACCTTGCCACCATCTATGAGCCAACTGTCTAGGAAATGTGGGAACCTCAACATCTCACAACCTTATGGGCCTCCACAGCCTGTTACAGGGAGAGCTTTGCTTTACTTTATTTGAATATAAGAGTTGCACCACACTCAACACTTTCAGTTCCCATTCCCTGCAATTCACATGACTCATGTGGAGGTATGACACGTAGCAAAGATAAGCAGCGGCTGCACACACAGAATAACAGTGCTGAAAACAAGAAGTAGCCGCTGCAGCACTACAGACATAGGGTGAGTAACTCTGAGAATTTTAATTTTTTAAAGAATTTTAAATTATAACTGAAGATTTTAAAAGTGCCGGTTCATAATATCAAAATTGACGAGTGTAGACAAAAAAGATAATGCACAAAGCAGACAGATACCAGCGAAGTAGATTCTGATAAATCAAAACCTGTTGGTAATGACGAAAAGAACAATTGTGAAGACTTATGGTTTTAAATTTTAAACTAGATGCAGTGTAACAGCTACATAAGTGCATACACCTGATGATGGCCGTTTGCGGCTGAAACATGTAGTGTAGAAGAGGGAAAGACAAAAGAACTACAATAAATTGTTGCACTTGGGACAGTGTTTATGTCATATTATCAAATGAAACTAATTTTAAGGAACATAACTTCCAATTTCCTGTTAGATGATCGTATAATAATTGGATCTGAAAGCGGTTATCATTCTCTTGCTCATAATGCTACTGTACCACATAATAACTGAACATAAATTTTATTACAACAGTTATCATCATAAACAATGTGATAAGTGCAACTCTTGACCATATTAGGGGCTTAGTTTCCACTTTCATTCATAACCTGCAGTTCTTCTATTTTATATTATATAAGTTGTTCAACAAAAATCTTGGCCAAAGAATGGATATTACTATTTTAGAGCATTTGTAAGATTAGCAGATCCATCCCACAACAAGGACTTATGACCTTTCCTTTCTGATTAGGGGCCACTGGTAAAACATTGCATTACATACAATATATCTTATGCCTGAAACTCCCAGGACTACTATAAAGGAACAATTCCAGCAGATGTTTCTGCTTTTCTCAATAGCTCTTAAAATATGGGATATGCTACATTGTAAACATTATCTTAATTTGTAATAAATATAGTTTATACTTACATACATTTAAACTTGATTTCTGAATAAACTTATCTGACCACATGCTTCCAAGAAAGCAAGCAAATCTACTGACTAACAATGCCAAAATTCTATGGACATAGTCCAATAAATTTCTACTTCATTATCAGAAGCATAGTTAACAAACTTATTATCCAGAACTGGTAGCTGACCAGTGTCATCAGTCTGATGAGCCCCAGGGCTGGTGCCATGAACTGAAGTAGCAGCTGTGTTCGGGACTGCTGACGTGGCCAACAACTTCACAGCTGGAGCAAGTAAACCAGGCCAAATGTAAAGAATAGTATTTCTTCTTGTTACAGTATGTGAGCAAATTGTATCTATAAAACTTCACACAGCCTGTTAACTTAACTATGATCAAATTCTAACTGAGAAACATATATCAATTATCACAAGCCTGAAACTAGCTTTTGTTAAGTATGGAATTGTGGGGGTGGCCAAACCACAATACTCAATGCAATGTAATGTGTGTCAATATGATTTGATTCTGTATTAAAGTGTTTTATTTCGATCTGCCATACTTTTTACCATACAAAAACATCGAGTTTTATCAATATTAATTATGGGAATCTACACCTTATAAACCACATTTCTAAAACTGTAATAGGTTCTTCTTCATGGTTCTCACCCCTTGTGATCTGCAATTTTGTAATTCTTTCATTTCTTGAATATTTCACTGCATCTTTTAATCATTATTATCAATTGCAAAAGTTACACAACAAAATGATATTCTTCCTCAGATATTACACTGATAGAAAAGATAGTGAAATCCTATTTCTCTGTCTTTTGCTACGTTATGTGATCTCCAGGAACACTGGAGCCATGTGAATGCATGAAACGAGATGCTGCAGTGCACCAAAGGTATAAGAATACTGAGATTAACAAATCATGTCTGTCAGTATGAATAAATAAATTGTTCTTCATCGAAGAATTATATGTAGAGTGGTTAATGACGGAGTGTGACATATAACATGGAACCCACTGCTGAGAGACAAATAACTGGCACTGTCAATTTCTGAACATTACATGCCATTAAATTCGAGGAAATTTGGCCAACCCTACAATGTGTTTCAGAACAAACATTGCACTGATAATAAACCTTTCCTCTGCAGAGTCAACAACTGATAATTCCTCCCAGACTGACGACATTCTTCAATCATACCTTTGTACTCTCACCATAGTAACAAAGAAAATTTTAAATATAAAATATCCTGTTAAATATGAAACTACAGTATTTACCTGAATGGAAGACAACCTCTCTAACATGATCTTCACCATGAAACAGAATGACAAAGAATAAAGCGATGTTATCCCTTTCTTCACCCCAACTTTTTATCTCTTCTTGTTGAATTACAGTTTCCAGTTCATAGTTTCTCTACCACTTCCGGCAAACTGGTGAATCCTGACCTTGGAAGTTTATTTCTGTCATTTCCATGCCACTTTTGGTGATACTTCAGGGAAACTCACCACAGCTCACAGTTTCTGATATTGCAAATATTTCCATCACCCACCAGACCACATGGTGTTGTAATGTGGAACACATCATCATTCTCTCTAGTGCCCCCCCCTCTGAACTGTTATGCTGACAAGATGTGGTGTGAAAGTTAGCACATTATATCTTAAAAACACCATCATACTAAAAAGTTTAAAATATTCAAAATTCTGCTATGTATTTCAAATTCAAGATGATCCTGCATTTTTAACTCTGAAATAAATCTTGTCCTTCCATTCGGGTAAATAAAGCCATCCTACTATATTACGATGGCTGCTGGCTTGCACAAGAGAGGTGTGAAGTTAAGGTAACATGGGAAAATGACAATGAATTGAGGTACTGTTAACAGAAGGGAGAAAGTTAACAGTGTAGCTATGGTCTGATAAGAAACATTAACTATAACTTATCACAACACATATTCAAGCAGTATCACTCATTAGTGCAGGGTGGAGTCCAATTGGGTTCACTCGGCACAGCGGCCACTGATTGGCCTATTGTAGCCTGCCCCGGGTGATTATGATGATGGAGAATTTGGTGGAATGAAGATTGGCAGGGGAAACTGATGTACTTGGAGAAAACCCGCCCCAGCGCCACTTTGTCCACCACAAATCCCACTTGACCAGACCCGGGATCAAACACATGCAGGTGCGGTGCGAAGCAAGCAACTAACCGCTTGAGCTATGGCGCGGCCCATATCAAACATTAATTTTAGCCTTCCATATCCACACTTTTCAATGGCCACCACTTCTCTTATATGATGAATTCCACAGTTACTTAGCAATGCTTTTTAAACTACATACATTACATAGTGTCTAATATCAGAAGGAATAATAAACAGAATGAAATCAATTATAGTCTATTTTAAGGTACAGCAACATTTACAAGGAAGGACAAAGAAAAAACATGAAAAATCCCAGTCAGGACAGCCAGGATTCAACAGAGGAGTGCTAACCAACTGCCTCCAACATCTGCAGCAATACTTTGGCTCTGCGCAATTCTGCCTTATGATTTACACAACAAAGGCAGCACACTAGAAAACCGTGTCTTCATGCTTGTTAGTATCACAGCAATAAACTCTCTGTATTAACCTATCTCATGTGTAGCTATCAGCAGAGTAACCCACCCACCATGAGAGGCAAATTTATGAGAACGGACTAGATAAAGATTCCTGAAAAACTAGAAATCATCAGCGTCCATAAAATAATTGGAAATATACTGTTAATATCTGCCTTACACATCATCACACACTTACAGAACATTCTTGTAAAGAATGATACCAAATACTCACTTTCCAGATCTTTCAGAGCCTGGGGCTTCTCCCAGACAGATTCACCAGCTTTGGCATTATAGTAATATGATCGCCCATCAGGAGCTTTGTGTTCTGTCCACTCGGCAGCTCTTGCAACTATATCAGGATCAATCTGAAAGTGAGTAAAACCCATATCTTAGATTCTGTCTACTACTTTAGGAGAGGTACCTTCATAAATTGTATTCTTCTCCAAGTATAATTAATGATCAAGTCAGGAAGGATGACGTGGGCAGGTCATGTAGCACGAATGGGGAAGAGGAATGCATATAGGATATTGGTGGGAAAGCCAGAAGGAAAGAGACCACTGGGAAGACCAAGCCATAGGTGGGTGGACAATACTAAAATGGATCTTAGAGAGACAGGATGAGATGGATTGGATTGATCTGGTTCAGGATAGGGA